GCAGAGCCATGCCCCCAGTCCTATCTGACCTCTGTGCCTCCTGATGACCTTCTTCCACTCCTGGACCTTCTGTATCCAGAGCTGGACTGGGAAGCATGACATCTAGTCCAGTCCTGGACTTGCTAGCCCCCCTCCCACTTATATCAAGAGGCCTCTGCCCTAACCTGTTACCCCCTGTAAACCTTTTCTGCCCTTAATCTCTGCTTTCTTCTCTCTAACCTGGTTACAGATGGAAGACCTGTATGAAGACTTTCACATTGTGAAGCTGCCACTGTTACCCCACGAGGTTCGGGGAGCTGACAAAGTCAACACTTTCTCTGCCCTGCTCCTGGAGCCCTACAAGCCCCCCAGCACCCAGTAGCACCACACCACTCATCCCAGCTGCTGCTGTTTTACACCCTCCTCTTTCCCCATGGGGCAGAGTTTGCACAAAGTCCCCCACAGTATGGGGGAGCCACTTAGGAGGTGGGAAGTTGGGAGGGGGTCTGTTCCCCCTGGTGGGGCCTGGGGAGGCTGCAATGCCCCCCACCTCTCCCTGCCTCACACTCCTCAATAAAATAATCTTAAACAACTCTTCATTAATGGAGGCATGGGTAGTAAGCGCCTGTATACAGCCACAGATCATAGGCTGCACAAAAGGTATCTCCCTCTCCCGCACACAGGGATCCGTCTGCAGCAAACCTAGGGTGATACATGTTTATGGTAGCAGTGGAAAGAGGCTGTCTTGAGTAAAGAGAAGCCTGGTCTTAAAGATAACCTTTCTAGGGCTGCAAAGCCTATAATCAAGCATCTGCACCCTTCCCTAAAAACCCAGAGTGTCCCAGGTGTATTTGTACATAACTTTAACCTCAGAAGGCAGAGGCAGGCAGGATCTCTATGAGTTCAAGGCCAGCCTGGTCTTCAAAATGAATTCCAGGTCAGCCCGGGCTATTGCACAGGTAAAACCCTATCTGGAAAAAAAAAGCAGAGGCTCAGAGTGTGGGAATCTTTAGGCCCCATGGCCAGCCCCAGGCTGGTAGGAACAGATTAAGCAGGCAGTGAGCCCAACACCGCCTGCTGTTTAGTTTGGGAATTAGTGGGTGCCCTGGGCAGAGGCTGGGCCTGCCAGACTGGGGATTAAAGATGTGCATACACGCCCCAAGTTCCTGCCTTCCTGGGATACTTTCAGCCCCTCCTGGGGTGGGACTAATGAGGACTGGCAGGAGCCAGAAGATGTTGGGGGTTCCCTTAGGCTGAACCTGCTTTCAGAGGTTTCCTGAGGTTCACCAGTACAGGCCTCCAACTGTTTGGGCTTTAGTCTTACAGCCCTTAAATTGGTGACCTGAATTGTGGCACAAATTCTCAGACAACACACCTTTGAGGAAGTTACTTAGCAGACCAACATCTCCTGCCCTTCCCTTTACCCTCTGAACAGCCTCTATATTGGACACCTGAGAAACTGGGAATAAAACATGACTTTGGGTGTTTTCAAGTTCCACAGCTACTTGGTGTGAGGGGACAAGAAGGGGTGCTGGAAGACATACATGACTCAGAAGTGTTCCTGGTACACCCAGGGTCTAGGCGTGCTGGGGAATGCATGTAAGGGGAACCCATTTATGCGTCTAGACTTGTCCTCCTGCTGGACTCTGGGTGTGTGCAAGCTGGTATGGGCACGCCGTAGTGGCAGATATAAACAAACAGAAGCAGCCATAGGAAGGAAGGACCACAGACTCCAAGCCCATATCACCTGGGTTCAGATCCTAGCTGTTCGGCTGTATCATCAGAGATGTGGTCTGCCCTTGAGGCTAGTGGAATAACAGGAACCATCTCCCCTGCTGGCATGGATTTTCCTCCGCCACCGGCTCAGCCCTCATTAAGAGTCACGTGCTATTGCAGTGAGAGGGCATGTGAACCAGGCAACCCGCCCTCCAGAGCCACTGGGGGTCGGGAACTGTGGGAACGTGTGTGCTGAGGGAGAAGAGATGCTAGGCAGGGAGCTCAAGGGCACATGCTAGGGAGTCGGGGCAGCCTGTCAAAGAACAGCCTGTCCAGTCTCCAGGTCCTACAGCTGGCAGTGAGTCTGCTGTCGTCGCTGGAGTTTATAAGCTGTGGGGCAGCTGGACAGCGGAGATACAGGTCTAAGGGTGGCCAGCCCAAGCTGGTTCCTAATTTACCCAGGTGGGGCAGACATCTGCCAGCCTGGGAACACTGTGTCCTGGCCAGATGGGCCTCCCAGTGATGCTGTACTGAGCCATCCCCACTCATGCTGCTAAGCAGGAGGATACCAAGGAACTCATGGGGGAACCTCAGAGTGCCCCACCCAGGTCAGACCCCTGAGCCTCTGCCCCTCTCATACCCATGTATCTGTGGACCTGCTTGAAGTTGAGGGTGGCGGTGGGCGTGTTCTTTGTGCCAGGTTGGGAGCGGCCCTCCTGTTGGTGTGTCTCTGAAGAGAGAACATCTGTCTCGAATCAGTGCCAAATGTAGGGACAAGGATTTATGCCCCTAGTTGTGTGTTCAGGGCTTTGTTGAGTATGAAACCTAAGTATATGTCTGGGTGTTTCTGTACACAGCACATAACAGCACATAAAGGAGGAAGCATTGAGACGAGGCTTTTTAAATTTTAGACAGGGCCTGTCTGTATAACTTAGATTGTCCTTGAATGCATAGCCTCCAAAATGCTAGGGTTATGGGTATATGCCACCAAGACTGCCTACACATATTATGTTCAAATGCATTAATGTCACCGGGGTTTTAGTTGGTGAAAATATTAAGGTGAGATCCCTGTTGTCATCCCCCTGCCGTGCTAGGGTTGGAAACCAGGGCTTCACAAATGCGTGGCAAGTCTTTCACCATTAAGCTACCCACACACAGCCCTTGCAAACTGGCAAACATCACCAAGGCCCTGCTCTGACCCTAGGGTTGTATCCAACTGTGTTGAGGAAGGTCTCCCCACACTTCTCATGTGACTTTGGATGTGTCTTTTACCGAGGAAAGAGAGACTTCAAACTGAATATGAAGTCTGTGGCCGTGGATGGGAAGGTGTGAGTGACTGTTCTCTCCTGAATCGTTGTCATATGGTGAGAGCTTACAGGAAGGCCCACTTCTTCTGCCCTCCTGTAAGGCTGTTTGGAGCACCTAGTATGGGCCCATGAGCTGAGAACTGGCTACTTCCAGGTTTCACTTGCCTTCCACCCACTTGCTCCAGTGGAGGGAAGAGTGTGGGGCTACATGTTCCTTGTGTGACGTCGGACTGGTATGTGTGTGTAGGTCAGAGGGCAGTTCTGTGGAGCTGGTTTTCTTTACATGAGAGATTAAACTCATGTCATGCTTCTTGTTTTGTTTAGTTTGATTTGGTTTGTTTGTTTGTTTTTAGGAGGCAGGGTTTTATTGTATTGCCCAGCTGACCTAGAACTCACTCTATAGACCAGACTGGCCTCAGACTCATAGAGTTCCACCTGCCTCTGCCTCCTGAGTGCTGAGATTAAAGGCGTACAACACCATTACCTGGCCAGATGATGAGGTTTGTATAGCAGGTCCCTTTACCATTGAGACATCTCTATGCACACATACACACACACACACACACACACACATGATTTTTAGAGACAGGGTCTCTCTGTTTAGCCCCAGCTGTCCTGGAACTCACTCTCTAGACCACGCTGTCCTCAAACTCACAAAGATCACCTGCCCCTGACTCTGGAGTGCTGGGATTAAAGGCGTGCACCACCACTGCCCAGCATTATTTTTTAGACAGAATCTACCATATAGCAAACTGAGCCTTACCCCAAATTCATTATGTAGCCCCGGTTGGTGTCTTTATCTCCTCTATGTGATCTTGCCTCTGCCTCCTAAAGAACGCTAAGATCATAAATATACACCTTTACACTTTGAGGGGGAGGGGTCTGGAACTCTCTGTAGACCTGTATAACAGGCTGATCTCAAACTCACATATTCTGCCTGCTTCTGCCTCTCTAGTTTCTGGAATTAAAAAGGTGACGACTTCTTCTTCTTCTTTTATTGCCCCTGAAAACAGGATTTTTCTGTGTAGACCAGGCTGTCCTGGAATTCACTCTGTAACCAAACTCTAGACCAGGCTGGCCTTGAACTCAAAGACCTGCCTGTCTCTGCCTCCCAAGTTCTGGGATTAAGGCATGTGCCAACACCACCAGGCTGTTTATGTTTTATTGTAAGGATGTTTTACCTGCACGTATGTACATACACTCCATGAACAAATGCCCAAGGAGGCAAATGAGAGTGTAAGAATTCCTGGAACTGGTGTTACAGACAGCAATGTGGGTGCTAGGTACCTCATTCTACAAGAGCAGTATAAGTTCTTAACCTCTGAGCCGTATCTCCAGCCCTACCTTTTCAATTATGTGTATATGCCTTTATGCCTGTGTGGGGATATGTGCATCTGAGTACAAGGTGCCCTTGGATCCCCTGGGGCTGGAGTTACAGGTGATTGTGAGCTACCAGAGTAGGTACTGGGAACAAACTCAACAACAGCAGTATATGAGAAGCACTGAGCCATCTCTTCAGCTCCTCTTTTGGCCTTTTAAGACTCAGTCTCACTCTCTCTAGCCCAGGCTAGCCTAGAACACATGACAGTCCTCCTGTCTTAGCTGCCAGCATACCTGGCTGACCTTGAAAGTCTCTGTGTGACCCTGTGAAGGGCCACGGTGGTTAAGTAAAGCTGTGTTGGGGAAGCAAACTGTGTGCCTGGGTCTACGGTGTGGTGTGCATCTCTATGACAACTGGTAATCACAGGTAACTGAAAGGTGACCCAGTCTTGTTAGCGCTCTCTCTCTCTCTCTCTCTCTCTCTCTCTCTCTCTCTCTCTCTCCCTC